TTGGTTGGCCCTTTTAGGCCGAACCCATCAAATGTCTACCTTTTAAGGCTGGGCTAACTCATTTTTTTAACTCTAATAATAAATTACTAAAGGTGTGTTTGGTTTATTTCTCAATTGAGGTTGGGGTGACCCAAACCAAACTTGGAGAGTAAAAAGCTCATCACAACATTGATATTTTGTTTGGACAAAAAAATATTAAACGAGCTTCTAGTTGAAATGAGCGTTAAAGTTAAAGCTATCTAAGGGAGCTTTTCAACGCTCATTAGGAACCTTGGGGTATATTAATTGCTGAAAATTGCTAGATTCTCTCTTCTCCTATCCTCTCAACTCACCAAGATCACTAGCTTGTCTCTTATTCTTTCCTCTGTCTTCACTTCACCAACCGTTGCCTCTAGCATGTTCTCGCTGCTGTCGATGACAGTGTATGTGCTCGGCGTCATCACTGCGGCCGTCAGGGGAAATCGTAGGTTCTGTTGAGGTTGTCGTCGTTGTCTGAGTGTTTGTCAAGGTTGATGATTCCGTCAAAGTTGATTTTCTTCTTGTTGCGTTGTCTATGTAGATCATTCTTATAGAGATAAGAAGTTTCGTCCTTTGCCATCGAACTTTGAGAAATCTACTAGTGGGGACTCTGCAGGTAGATCAAAAAATTGGAGCTTCGAGGGTTTGGAGGAAATAAGAAGCTTCAAGAGTTGATTTCTTGTTGCGTCGATTTTCTTGCAGCATGACTAAAGGAAATAAGAAGCTTCCTTCTTCGCCTTCGAACTTTGAGAAATTTACCACTGGCGTAGGCAAAAAAATTGGAGCTTCAAGCCATCAAGAAAATGATGAGCTTATTTTAAAAAAATAGGTGGGTTTTACAGATACAGCATAAGTAATATTTTAAAAAATAAAAAATTATGAATTTATAAATTTATTTTATTCATTTAGAATTAAATATTTTACACTCTCTTTCTATTAAAAAATGTAAAGCATTTTTAATCGAATCTCACCCATAATAAAAATAGTTATTTGTCTTAAAGATAAGACTAACCTTATCTTTTCATTTTTACATTTATTTAATAGATTATTTCACCCTAAAATAAATAGAAAGTGATTATTTAATAAGGGCACATTTTAGGAAAAAAAAAAATTACATATTAAAAGATTAAAAATGCCTTATATTTTTAACAAAGGGAGTAATTTATGAATTTATTTTAGATTTTTATAATTGAATATTTTGAATTTTATCCTCTCATTCTACCTTTTTAAAAATTAAGATTCTTTTATTATTAGTGTATTTTATATTTAAATCTACTTTCTTTAAAAATTAATTTTAAGTTTAATATTTTTTTCTAAAAAAATTAAATTAGTCACAATATAGATATAATATATATAAGAAAATTCACATCTATTGATTATAACCATTATATATAAGAAAATTAAATTTTAATTTGTTCAACTAATTTCTAAAAAAGTATTCAAATATAAATCACATTAAAGTCACTAGCTTTTTTCCCAACTTCAATTACTAACCTCAATTGATTATAACCATTAAATTTTAACCATTCAAAAGTTTATCTAAATATTGAGATGTAAAATGGAGAAGAAGCGGAGAGATAAGAAATAGAAAGAAGCATAGTCCTGAAAATAGGTAACAAATCAATGTGAAAATCATTGTGTCTGGATTCTCTCCAATCCCTTTTCTCCTTTTCTTTTTCTCATCTCATCTCCACCCTTAAATAATAGAATGAATAGTTCATATTTAATTTTTTTTACCAACAAATTTAATTATTTTATAAAATAATTATCATACAAAAAAGAAATAAATTTAAACCATTAAAATTAATTAGCTAGGGACGCAAAGGGAGTTGTTGCAGAGAGGATCTACATCCTTTTATTACAGCCTTATAGGTAGAGTCAAAAAACAAGTGGGGTGAGCCCATAAGATCAGTGGCTCCAAAATCAATTATTTTTTTTAAACTCGACCCTTATTCAAAAAGTTTAAAGTTGGACCCATAAGTTTAATTTTTATTTTATTTTTTAAGTTTTTAAAATTAAATTTATTTATAAATAAAAATTAAAATACATAATAAAAATTATAATTTTAAAGTATAAACATATATTTTAAAATTTAAATTGAATTTAAAAATTAAAAATTTTTATTTTTAAGTGTAAAATAAAAAATTCATATAAGAGGGTATTATCAATATGTATCTACAAATCTTATAGTAAGAAAGGTGATTAATTACAAATCTCTTATCTCTCATTAGTCAACATACTTTAGTATAATATTAATTATCCTCTTCCATTGATCAATTAATTTTTATATAATCAATTTAATTTTTGTGTGATATTAATATTACTATTTTATTAGTTGATGTGATTGAATATTTTTTCTAATTAATTGATAGAATTTAATTATTTAATTGATTTTTATCTTTTCATGGGACGATCAATTTAAATGTGATTGAATATTTTTTTTGATTTATTGATATAATTTAATTTATTATTTATTTATTTTAATTGATTTTTATCTTTTCACAAGACAATCAATTTAATTTTAATTAATATTAATATTACTATTTTATTGGTAGATGTGATTGAATATTTTTTTAATTGATTGACATAATTTATTTATTTTATTTATTTTAATTAATTTTTATCTTTTCTCTAAAAGAGAGCATTAAATTCTATTTCAAATTTTTTTTGAGTTATCTATTATGGGAGCATTAACTATGTTATTTCCCATGTTCTCAAGTCCTGTTAGAGAGTTTTTGTTCTTAATATAAGAATATAGTTACGTCTCTTAGTCTCATATGCCCTAACTAATGGTTGATTAATTGATTTTTATCTTTTCATGGGATGATCAACTTAATTTTAGTCTAATATTAATATTACTATTTTATTGGTTGATGTGATTGAATATTTTTTTAATTGGTTGATAGAAATTAATTTATTTTTCATTTATTTTAATTGATTTTTATCTTTTCATGGGATGAGAACATTAATTCTATTTCAAATTTTTCCTAAGTCGTTTATCATGGAGTATTAATTATATTGTTTCTCATATCTTCGAATCTCACTAGAGAGTTTCTGTTCCTAATACAAGAATATCTTTGTGTTTCTCAATCTCATATGTCCTAATTGAAAATTAATTAGTCATTCTCCTAAGTGAATTTATTGTCGACAGTGGAGAGCTGGGCGACTGGGGTGAAGGAGTTTTGCGCCTCTTTTCAACCAATGTCAAGGAGAGGATGTCGGGTTCATCCACATACTTCCTGAAGAATTCAAGAGCTTAACTTTGCCGTGCTTACATGACAACCCTTGGAACGAGTTTTCTTTTACTAGGTCTATTGCCATGGTGTCTTTTGTATGAACATTAATGGTAGATTCATTTGCGATTGGACATTATAAGAGAAGGCATTTTAATTCAAAACAAATTTTCACTTATAAAGAGAAGCTGCAATGTCATGAGCACGTCGATCATATTTATGTGTACACTCATGCAATGCAAATTCATGCTCAAAAATCAATAGAGAAACTTTCAAAAATTTATCCACCTTAAATGCATCAATATCAATAATATTATTGATTTTTATTTTAATTTTTTTAATATCAATCTTTTTTTTTTTAAGGGTCTATTTTGAAGTTCGGTAACCTTAAAGATATTTTTTAATTCAAACCCTCGTTAAAACAGGTTTAAAAGTGCTGCAGTCAGCCCTGCTCTTACAGGCTCTACTTGCAGGTTAGTTACTTAGTTCTCGTCCCTTGTGCGTGGAATTAGTTCTTTCTTGTTCTCGTCCCTTCTATGACCAGTTCCGGTGAGTTCTCGTCCCTTTTGCGTCGAACAGTTTTAGATCTTGACTTTATCTGGTAATCTGGTTGAATGGAGCTCGCATACCCTCTTCTCCTCCTCCGTCCCATACCTTTATATCGATTTTGCTTCAAGTGGGAAGCTTGAGACCGAAAGTGGCACCCGAATCTGCGCAATATACAGCGATTTCAGCAGCTCAGCTGTTCATTAATTTCACTTGGGGACTTTCGTCCCTTTGACAATGTCTGGGTCGATACTGTACGATTTGTTTTTGGAGCTCAATATCTCAGGTAATCATTGCCATTTCGGAGTTTTAATGAATTCTACATGAATGTTGATATTTTTTTTTCCTTCTTCTGTCCCGTAATGGCAAACTGGGATACAATGATTATAGTAGAACTTAGGGATATTTACCAAAGTATCAAACTTTATTTGGACAATAAATTGGAGGTTGGGCACTGTTCCAGGTAGTTTAAAACAGATTATTGAAATGGTTAATCTATTTCCAATATTATGGTTCCTGGAATGAAGTATGGAACACGGTTTTATTGCCTGCCAACTAGTTTTATGAATTTAATAATCTGTTTTGTTGGATGTATGTGTTGTGGATGGCATGTAAGAGAGTAACTGATAATTAGGGAGATTTTAAAGAATCATAGAATTTTCTTTCCTCCTTTTACATTGTGTATGGTTATTTAGAAACTAGTCTTTTGACCAAAGAGATTGGGCATATTTTCCAATAAAAGATGAGGGAAAAAAATCCCAGAAGAGGTTAGGATAATGTTCATGTGCGTTGAAGCTTTTGGAGCTTATTGTTGGACTAAAAACTTAATACACATACAATATGTGCAATTACTTTCTATTACGAGATGTTGGTTGGTTTTGTTTACGTTCCCCCCTTCCCCCTGAAAATCATGATGAGATATATCATATCTTATTGGCCAGGTTAACAATTGAGAGCAGAAGACAATCAAGATGTTGATGGCAAGCCGTTGTCAGTCCTTTTTAAGAATTGGCTATTGTACCATTATTATCCAGGTCTGAGTAAGTCACCAAGAGCTGGCTAGGTTTGGTAGAAAGTTTCTTCATACAGTACACTCTATACAGCTGCGTGCATACGCTTGCCAAAACCAGTTTAAGTCTCCATCTAATATTATCACATGCATAAAAGAACCCTTGAGCTATGGTGCCCATTGGTCCCTTTCAAACCACCCTAGCCCCCAAATTTCATGTTTTCTTCGAAAGGGTTTCTCAGAAATTATTGAAGGAAATGCCGGTAAAGTGCTGCATGCATTATGTATAAAAGATGTTGTTCATCTCAGCACATTCTATGAGAATACCTTGGTTAACATGTACTCTAAGTTTGGTGAAATAAAGTATGCAAAACATGTGTTTGATAGAATGTTGGAGAGAAATGAAGCTTCTTGGAATACCATGATGTCAGGGTTAGTTCGATGTGGTTGGTACTTTGAAGCGATGCATTTTTTCTATCATATGCTTGAAAACAATGCCAAGCCTAGCAGTTTTGTAATTGCTAGTTTAGTGACTGCATGTGATAGGTCTGGCTGTATGATTGAAGAAGCACTTCAAATTCATGGTTATGTTGTCAAGTATGGTTTGTTCTCTGATGTATTTGTTGGTACTTGTCTTCTGCACTTTTATGGTTCATATGGTCAGGTATGTGAGGCCAGCAAGATATTTGAGGAGATTATTGAACCAAATATAGTGTCATGGACTTCTTTGATGGTGACTTGTGCAGATAATGGAGATCAGGAGGAGGTTATTAATATTTATCAGCTTTTGAGACGCCATGGATTTTATTGTAATCAAAACACAATTGCTACAGTATTTAGGTCTTGTGGGATGCTTGGGGATAAACTTTTGGGTCATCAAGTCTTGGGGAATGTGATTAAATCTGGATTAGACAATAATGTTTCTGTGGCAAATTCTGTCATATCCATGTTTGGTAGCTGTAGTAGCATGGAGGAGGCATCTTATGTGTTTAATAATATGAAGGAACGTGACACAATCTCTTGGAATTCAATCATTACTGCAGCTGCACATAATGGTCGTTGTGAAGAATCTCTTCAAAACTTTTCTTTGATGCGTAATAGTGATACAGAAACAAACTATATTACAATTGCGGCCTTATTATCAGTGTGTGGCTCTGCTCAAAAATTGAATTGGGGAAGAGGACTTCATAGTCTTCTTGTAAAATCTGGACTAGAATCAAATATTTGTGCATGTAATAGTCTCTTAACTATGTATTCTGCTGCTGGAAAATCTGTGGATGCAGAGGTTGTATTTCATACAATGCCAGACAGGGATTTAATCTCCTGGAATTCCATGATGTCATGCTATGTTGAGGAGGGAATGTACCTAGAAGCCATACAACTTTTCAGTGACATGCTCTGGACTAGAAGGGCAATGAACTATGTTACTTTCACAAGTGCATTGGCTGCTTGTTCTAATCAAGCAAACATAGTTGAGGGAAAAATTGTTCATGCTCTTGCAATCCTTTTTGGTCAACATCACAATTTGATTGTTGGTAATGCATTGGTTACCATGTATGGGAAGTCCAATTTGATGTCTCAAGCACTAAAGGTGTGCAAAACCATGTCCAAGAGAGATGAAGTAACTTGGAACGCCCTCATTGGTGGCTTTGCTGATAATGAACAATCACATGAGGCATTGAAAGCTTTTAATTTGATGAAAGAAGAAGGTGTACCTGCAAATTACATCACAATTGTGAATGTTCTTGGTGCTTGCATATCTCCTGATGATCTTTTAAAACATGGATTGTCCATCCATGCACACACTATTGTTACAGGCTTTGAATTAGATACATATGTTCAAAGTTCCCTCATTACCATGTATGCCAAGTGCGGTGATCTCAATACAAGTAATTTCATTTTCAATGAATTAGGTTGTAAGACCTCTAGTGCTTGGAATGCTATTATTGCTGCAAATGCTCATTATGGGCCTGGTGAAGAGGCCCTCAAACTCATTGTAAAAATGATGAGTGCTGGGGTTTGTTTAGATCAGTTTAGTTTCTCTATAGCTCTTGCTATTGTAGGTAACTTGACTGCATTGGATGAGGGTCAGCAGCTCCATGCCTTGGTTATTAAACTTGGGTTTGAGTCTGACCATTATGTGTTAAATGCTACAATGGATATGTATGGAAAATGTGGGGAAATTGATGATGTGTTAAAAATTGTTCCTCAACCAAGTATCAGGTTTCATAGGTCATGGAACATTTTGATATCAGCATTAGCGAGACATGGGTTTTTTCAAGAGGCTAGGGAAGCTTTTCACGACATGCTTAGATTGGGACAGAGACCTGACCATGTCACCTTTGTCTCACTCTTATCTGCTTGTAGTCACGGCGGTCTGGTGGATGAAGGTCTTGCATACTACTATTCAATGACTAGTGAATTTTGTGTCCCAGTGGGAATTGAACATTGTGTTTGCATAATTGATCTTCTTGGGCGATCTGGAAGACTTGCTGAGGCTGAAGCTTTTATTGACACAATGGCTGTTGCGCCAAATGACTTTGTGTGGCGTAACTTGTTGGCTTCTTGTAAAATACATGGTGATACGGAACTTGGAAAGAAAGCTGCTGAGAATCTTTTCAGGATGGATTCATCAGATGACTCAGCCTTTGTTCTTTATTCAAACCTATGTGCATCAACTAGAAAGTGGGATGATGTAGAGAATGTAAGAAAGGAAATGATTACTCATAACATAAAGAAGAAGCCTGCCTGCAGTTGGATCAAGTTGAGGAACAAGGTGACTTCTTTTGGAATGGGAGACCTGAGTCATCCACAGAATGGACAAATCATCATTAAGTTAGAAGAGCTCATGAAGATGATAAGAGAGACAGGTTATGTGCCTGATACAAGCTATTCACTACAAGATATAGATGAAGAACAAAAAGAGCACAATCTTTGGAACCATAGTGAGAGGATTGCCCTTGCATATGGATTGATCAATTGTCCAGAAGGTTCGCCAATTAGAATATTCAAGAACCTTCGTGTCTGTGGTGATTGCCACTCTGTTTTCAAGCTTGTCAGCAAATTTGTTGGTAGGAAAATTATACTTAGGGATGCATACCGGTTTCACCATTTTAGTGGTGGCAAGTGTTCTTGTTTAGACTACTGGTAGTGGATTGGTTTTTGCTGGGAATATGAAATTGAAAAATTGAGCGAAGAAATTAAGACCTTATTTGGGCTCTATATGATCAATCGGTTGCAGCTTCTGAAAATATATCCAGCGAAAGATACTGGCTAAAGTTAATCCTCTCGCACAATGGGAGGTTAGTTGTCTTGCATTCATTTTTACCAAATGAGGTAATGTTATATTTATTTCAAATTAGTTCCCTGGGAAGATTTATTATTTTCTTCTCATTTTTTAATCTTATTGTCAAATATGATAGAGAACATAGTCAGTTGAACAGCATAAGATTTTTATGCATGTTTACATTGTCATTCTTTTGCTTTGATTTTCTTTTCTTTCAATTGACTCTAGGAAAAAATCTAGTTGTGATTTAATAAGTGTTTTGCTGTTTATTTTATGCTAGGTGGTTGTTATGTTTCAATTTTATTAATTTGTTGTTTCTTCCTTTTTTGACTATTGACTACTTTCTGCACATTACACTTTGTCAAAGTTTGACTATCCTTGGATTGTAAAAATTCATGTGTGTCAAATGTGATTGGTTAATATAACAAGATTGGTAGTTTTTTAGTCTAATGGCTGTCTATGCTCTCTTTAGTTCCCTTTTTACTTAAATTCCAAGACTACTACTTTAGTCTGCTATTTTACTATTGTTGAAATTTTTTTTTTCTTTTCACTTTCTTTATAGTTGAAGATTCAAACCCCTTTTCCCCGTTTCTTGGGAGTGCAGAGCTCTATGATTACAGTGTTTAGGTCCATTGTTGGTAGTGCTTTATGGGATTGATTCATTTGACAATGGAAGCTATTTTTATTAGTTTTTTTATGAGATGACTAGGGTAATCTATAGTATTTTAATGACTTTGGCTTACTTGATTTACAACTATGTATAGATACATTGGGTTCCTACTAAGTAAAAGGTAACTAATCCCCCCTCGAGTACTGTTCCCTGTTTCTCTACAGGTACTAATAAGACAGGAGACTTCGCCCTTCCCATAATGCTTGGCCATTCTGAATTGCAGCAACAATTCTTATCTTTTCTGCTGTCTCTCTCCCAAGGTCGACACCTGTTTTACCTTGTCCTTCACCTTGGGCTTTTGCTTTTTAAATTTCTGGAATTGGGTTGTTTAGACTCATGGTTAAAACAGAGTCGGAGATATGGTAAACTGACAGGCTTGCCCACTCATCACTATGTAAACAGCACATCCCAATCCAATCCTCTCTAATATTAAACTGGATAAATCTGAATAAAAAGATCATGTTCTAGAGCTTGACAGCATTCAGCCGCTAAAGATAATGATAAAAGAGAATAATTAAAAGGGAGACCTCAATCATTATTTCTTTCCTTCCTTCCTTCCTTTTCCTTCCTTTCTTTTTTTTTTTTTTTGTTTTTTTTTTTTTGTTTTTTTCCTGTTTGCTTGAGAGTTTTGATGAGAAGAGGGAATATGAGAAAGCAGAGGATAAGTGATCCTTCCTTCCCAATTCTAAGAAAAGGAACAAAAGATAAGGAAGACTCTTTACTTCCAATTTTTTGTTTTTAGATTCACAAGTGTAACATTGGATAAGAGGAGGCCATAAATGTAATCCTTTTCAAAATATGTTTGGATATGATTAAAGCTTAATTCCATATTTTCTCTTAAATCATGGACTTAAGTTGCAAGATTTTTGTGCAATCGGGCTGTGCTTGTAAATCCCCCAAATTTTGTTGCTAATCTGTGAATAATAAAAGCCATAATATCATTTGTAATGAGATTAGCTGAGCTTAAAGATGGCTCAAGCCTTCTACTTTATTCATTAATAATTTACTATGCATTATATTGGGACTGTTGAAAACAGAGAGTAGCCCAAAAAATATGAAGAGAAAATAATAAAGATAATAATCAAAATCTAGACATTAACAACCTGATATATATCTAGATCACTCCGATAAAATCTAAAAGACATTGAATAAATAGGATAAAACAGAAAATCTTGTCTTCCATAGATTATTTGTGATTTCCAATATGTAGTTTGGATTTGCATGTGTTTCAAATGTATTTTTTGAGCAGAATTTTCATTTGGGTGTTTGTTTCTTCTTTGAACTGAAAGGATTGTTTGTAGAAAAATAAGGAAATCAAGCCATGAGAGTGAAAAGATCGATGTCCAAGGGCTTAATTGCAAAAAGAATTCTGGATGGTGCTCATGTTGGTCGTGATGACTTTAGGAGACTGTATTGTTACATCTTGCTAGATGTCATGAAGACTTTCACGTTAGTCATACTGATTATCAATGTTTTTTAGGGGACCCCACCTTGTTTGTTGCCAAGAGCAAGAACTTGGAAATACTTGTTTTTGAGATTTGAGTTTTTAAGAGAGAGAGAGAGAGAGAGAGCTCTATGATTCTTAAGAGAGAGAAGGAGATCCTTGGAATTGTGGAGGAGTCTTTCAAATCTAAGGTTAGCATGTTTTTGTTATGGATTCATTATTTATGTTCCATTCATCTCCTTCTGCTTCTTTATACGTTTGTTTTACAATATTTTTGCCTTTATTTTATTTATTTTTGCAAATCTTTATATCTGAATTCTTGATTATAATGCATTGTGTTGATAATGATTTACCGTAGCGTTTAGTTGAGATTTTGGTTCCTAGACACTGTCATGCTGCTTGGATGACCGTTTGAATGAAATGAACCGATTAAAAGTGATTGACTCATTAGATAAATTCATATAGACATATGGTTAGATGGATTTGTTAACTACCTAAGGCAGGTATTAATTTTATGGGGTTGGGATTGGGATTAGGAATCAATTTTAGGGAGAATTTTAGTAAAGGACTAGGGATGTGACTTATTTTCAAATCACACCTAATAAAATTTGAAACTACACTGTAGGATCCAAACACTAAATTGAAATTATTTTTAAAACGAATTGCCAAAAAGCCCTTCATTTATTTAAAAAGAACAAAGAAAAACTACTAGTCACTGTTGCCAGAGCACCACTGATGGTGACCGAAGCTTCACTGGCGATGGCAACCACTAGATCTCCGCTTCTAGAGCTTCAATTGCTAGTTGGACTATTGCTAGTGATAGCTAGATAATTAAATTCTCCAAAGGTGGATAAGAGTGGATTTAGAACTCATGTCCCTTTGACTCACCAAAAAAGTATGGACCACAAAACCATTGAATCCATTCAATTATATAATGCATAAAATTATTTATATAATAAATTTTATTTTGAAATCAATTAATTATTATGTTACTTGTTAATTGTGTAACTTTATTTGTTAATATATTAACAAAATTTGTTAATTACTTAACTTTTCTTGTTAAAGCCATGACTCTTGCAACAGAATTACATTGCTTATTAATCGCGTAACTTTATTTGTTAACACCTTGACAATACTTGTTAATTACTTAACTTTTTTTGTTAAATCAGTGACTCCCACAATATAATTACATTACTTGTTAATAGTGTAACTGTACTTGTTAATACGTTAACAAGACTTGTTAATTACTTAAGTTTCCTTATTAAATTCATGATTCCCACAATTGAATTACATTACTTGTTAATTGCTTAACTTTATTTGTCAATTTCTCAGCAGGACATAACTTTACATTTTTAAAAGGTTGGATGTGCAAAAATGTAATGCATTTTTAGTATTTGAAGGTGTAATCATTATTTTTTTTTCAAAAGCATTCATAATGAATAAATCACTTTATATTTCTTTTAAAGTGAAATTATATATTAGATAGGGGTAAATATAAAAAGGTTATGTTAGTTTAAAGATAAGTAGTTACTTTATTAGGGGTAAATATTAAATAGAAGAAGCATCTTATAAATTGAGACAAAAGGAGCATTTCAATATGGCCAACTAGAGGACTTATTGGAGCCTATACTAATTCAAATCGAGCTAAACAGTATTATAGATGGTAGCAAAGTTCTTCTACTAAGTATTTAATTCAATTGCATTCCTAGAACTTAAAATCAAAGATTTCTAGTTAAGCTACTATAATTTCTTACTAGTTGAATCAAGTGCTTATTGATCAAGATGCACATTTATCAATTGATTAATTGAAAACAATAAATAATAAACAAGAGTAAGAGATTGAAAGGAAAAATCATAGAAATTTAGGAGAATGACAATTAGGTCCTAAAATATTAAATAAATGATAGTTAAATTCTTGATAAATATTTTTGAAAAATAAATAAAAAAATATCAATTTAAATAATTATAAATTCAAGAGTTTTAATTGTAAATAAGTATATAAGTATTAAATGTAACTTTTAAATTATAACAAATTTCCGTTTGAATTGATATTTATAATTTATTTTTAGAAAATTTTGTTAGAGATTTAACTATTATTAATGTAATGTTTGGATTTAACTATCAGTCTCCCTATAAATTTAACCTAATTTAGATTTGGTTTTTGATAATAAAAAATATTTTATACTATAGTAGTCACAACAATTATAATCCATGGATTTCACTCACCTAAGGGTTGTCAAGAATCTCACCTAAAACTCAACTAATTATTGTGAATATTTTGCTCCATCTTCAGAGCAGCTCTATAGAAGATAAAATGCTTCACATGAATATTGTTTAAAATAATTTTAAAAAACTTGCATTAAAAAAATTGAGCATATATTTTTTTTCCATATATGAAAGGGATTATAATTATTAAACACAATTTATTTTGTAATTTTTAAACATGGTTATTGACTAAAAATCCTTTAAATACATATATTCAAATAAAATTATGAATTGGTTAATATATTTTATTTTATTATTACAATCCGCTAGAAACCACCATAGGTGGGTAGTGCAAAGTCAGAAAATTTTATCAAGGGGTTGAGATGACAAAACATATATAACTAACATAACATAAATAATTCAATGTATATATTTATATTTAATTACATATATATAATTAAAATAAATATATGCTTTTGTTTTTAAGTTTTGCTCATCAATTTTTCATGACATAAGAATAATTAATTACCATGTATATGATAAATTTTTTAGTTGTTTCCTTCTCAATATAAACTATCATTAAATTGACAAAAATTTCACCTTTTTCATTAGCATTGAATGATTTGAATGCATTCTTGAGATCTAAAATTCTCTTCAATTTTTTAAAAAACTTTATTACTTACTTACTGAATTAAATATTTAATTCTTTTAATTGATAAATATAATAAATAAATATATTAACACAATAATAATATTCAATTGTCACAAATTCTTTATGTCAAGGAGATCTAAGTATATTATAGTAAAAATCATTCATATTATAAATTTCAAGAGCTTGGTTATTATAGCAAAAAAAGTGATTTTTCTATAGGAACATATCTTAATCATAATCTCTTAACTTTTGGACAAGTAATTTTTTGATAGCCATCAAACACATATCATTCAATATATTTGGAATTTGTTGTAGTACTTGATAAAGTTTGTTAATAATAATTCTCATAATTTCTTTCATCAAATATAAAATAAAAGCAAAATCAAATGACATCAATACTTTAAGAGCACTTGTAGTATTATCTTGTTAAAACAAAGAAAGTCTTATGAGAATTATATATTCAATCTACTAAAGTAATTGGACTATACATGCATGTGTAAAATATTACTATAGAATTGAAATAAGAATTATATTTAGTGTCTCAATGTTTCTACAATATGCCAACTTAGGGGGCTAAAAATATAAAACCCCTAAATTTTAATAAGAAAAACATTTAAAAGTTAGAAGGGCGATTACCCCTACTGGTCCCTTGTCTCAACCCCTATTGAGGTAGGGGGCGACTCTATAAAAATTAGGCCAACTATTAAGAATACTTTCAATATGATGAATATTCCAAGTGAATTGCTTGGAGAGAATAACTTTTCAAAATAAATTTTTTGAACCCCAAATTTGAATAAAGAATATCTAATGTGCCTTTTCTAATGCCCTTTTTAATGTCTCAATTTCTCATTTTTGTTTCTTTTTTCTTTAGATCTTTGATTTCTATATAAAATAAAAGATATTTTCAATGTCTTGAAGTCTCAAAATAGTGAAGTTTTATATTTTTTATGAAAAAGTGTGTAATTGTAATTTTTTATTTAAAAAACCATAAAAATTACAAAACTTCACCATTTTGATACTTCAAAATATCAAAATGTTTCTTAGTTTATATAGACGCCAATGATCCAATGAAAAAAGAAAAATGAAATTAGGAAGATTAGAATATTATAAAAAATATTAGAGAAAGGTACATTAGAGGTCCATAGTCCTCCTAAATCCCACATCTCCTTCAAGCCAAGTAAAATTGCCCACAATTCAGCCTCTAAGTTGTGAACTCCAAATCTAATACTTTTGTCATACTTGCAAGTAAGAGGGACTCTTTTATCTAATTGGCTAAAATTTTTAGGGTGGACCTTCCATTTGGGCTTGTTCTCATAATATTAATACTTTTTATTGAGAGACCAGTGTCATGGAGAGAGTTACCCACTGAAGGTTTTGACCGACAAGATTAAGAGTGCGTTTGGAAGTTTAGAATTGAATAAAAAGGAAAAGTCATTAATAGAGTGGAATGAAATGGAGCAAAGTAGAGTGAAATAGAAAAAAAAAATTCCATTGTTTAGGAGTTTTATGATGTGAAGGAATGGTTTTGCATTACCATTGTTTGGAAGTTACTATAAAATGAATGGAATGAAACAGTTTAAATTTTTTTTCTTCCAATATTACCTATATGACTAAATTTAAATAAAATAATAATGCATATTAAATAATTATAATATTTATGCAACAAAATAATGATGATGATGATGATGATAATAATAATAATAATAATAATAATAATTAATGGTTAAACAAGATACTCAAAAATTAAGAATAAAAAGAGAAAGTAAGTCACAGAGCTATTTAAGCAAACATTTTTTTTTTTGCACAAGAGGAAAATATAACAGAATCGTAGTGTTGAAAGACGAGAGAGAGAGAGAGAAGAGATGGCAAGAGTGAGAGAGATACGATGGAAGGTAGAGTTATGTACTATGCCTAAATGCTCGGTCATCCCAGCCCTGCTTGAAGCATTCGGGCACATGGGGCCAGGCATCAGCAAGTTTTTTTTTAAAATTTTTTGTGAATAATATTTATCTAATGGCATTGATTTTTATTGAAAGTTATCATAAATTATATTATTTTTATAATCTTTTAGACATTTTTTATCATTATAATTTTTTAAATTTCTTTCAAAATTCAAAATTTATTTTTAACTTATTATTGTGTAAAAATAATTGGCATTCGTTTGAACTTTTAAAAAATTACTTTTAATTCTAATATTAGTTTTATGAAGAAGATATTTTAAATAATAATAATAATAATAATAATAATTTTTTAAGAAAAACTTTTTTATATATTTTTCAAAAAATACTTGTAAAAATATTTTCGGGTCAACCATGCCATTCTGATGCCCAACTATACATTGAGCTGGGAACCAAGTAGGGGTGATACTTAGCTCAGCCTAGCCCATGAGCAACCTTAGCAGGAGGCAAGAGAGATGGCTGGATAATGAAAATAATGGATAATATTTTATTTTTATTAAGATAGGAGGTTGGGGATAATTTTATAGATGAAATAGTTATATTATGCACTCCATCCTTGACCCCCCCAATTTGCAAGGACAAAATATTGAGCTATGAATAGTAAAAAAGAGCTTTAGAAGCCCTCCCTTGCCATTCCATCCTTCTTTAAAAAAAAAAAAATCTCACAAACAATGATTTAGGCCTTTTAGCCATCTCACTCCATTCTATTTTCTTCTAAAAAAATCTCCCAAACATAAGCTAAGTGGGTCTACCAAAAACATTGACTCTTGAAATGGGGTGTCAATGTTACAAGTATAAATATGAGAGATTTTTCTGTCCAACATTCTTTATTTTTTTTAAGATGAGTTCTCCTTTTAAATTTGTTCTCGTAACAACTTTCATGAATGAATCCAAAAATAAAGAATTATGAGTGATTTCTTATTCTCCCCCACAACCTCCCTTGGCTAAAGAAGTGAAGAATATTTTAATATAGTAAATCAAAAGTTCGAATACTTTTTGTTTCTAAGAAGGGTGCTTATATTTAGTATCTAATACCATCTCTCATAAAGATCACTTTCACTAAAAAAATACCTATGGGTACCCACGAAAAAAAAAAAAAAATCTACAAATCAATGTACATACACTATCATGCGGAGAGACCTACCACGAAAGATTCACGTAGGCATGCCATTTTATCTTTGTGATTCTTCAATATTTTCCAGGATCGATCGACATTACCTGCAAGTACATGAATTATATAAACTTTTCTTGAATTATTATAAAGCTACACAACCATAATTTTGAGAAAGATCTGTGCATATTTTTAAAACAGAGAAAAAGTCTTTGATTTTACGGTTTACATATATTTAAGAAAAAAAATTTATACTCCCTCTGTTTAAAAATATAAGACATTTTTTGAGGAGTTAAATGTTAAAAAATGTAATACATTTTTAGTTTTTTGAAGTGTAATTATTGCTTTTTTTAAAGCGCTCCTATTGTAGTAATTTTATATTCATTATAAGGTGTTTAATAGGGGTGAATATGAAAAGATAGAGTTAGTTTGAAAATAGGTAACTACTTTATTGGGGGTGAGATTCGGTTAAAAATACCTTATATTTTTGAACGGAGGGATTATAAGTTTTGTAATTATAGAAGAATTTTATATCTTTCCTAAATGATATTTATATTTTTTTTCTAAAACTTACAAATTTCATGAAATTAATCTCCTCAATTTTTAAAAATGATTAAAAATTTAGGATGTCCGAATCTAAATTTTTTTAGGTATGTATGGAAATGTATAAAGAATGCATTATATTCTTCTTTGAAAATGTATGAAGTAACCCTTTTTAACATTTATTTTTCCAAACATTTCTTGTCTGGAAATGCAAAAAGGATACGTTAAAACTTAAAAGTTACATTTGTCCAAAAAAAAAAAAAGTTACACAGGACATTCAGAATCCAATCTCTAAACTTTTCAAATTATGTGTCATTTTTATATTTTAAAATATCAGTGAAATCTTCTAAAACATAAAAATAGTGATACATTTCAGTTTTATTTTCAATATTTTAATAAAAGATAAATTTTTCATTTTATAAGTATTTATAATTTTTTTAAAATATAATGATCATTTATAAAAACAAAAAATAAATTATATAAATCTTAATTGAATTTTATTAAATTACAGTAGTTTTTTTTTGTGTGACTACACTATTTTTCTTAACATTCAAAACTTACAAAAACATCGGTTGTCAACCTAAAATAAATTAAATAAATGCTATCTGAATTATTTTAACTCTATATAGATTTTCCTTTTCATTTTCAACAGAGATTGTGCATATTTCCAAAATGTAATTTCGTGTTTGTCTCGAGAAAAAAATTTATATAAATTTTAGCAGGAGAGAATCTAGCATAATTTTAAAAAAAGTACACAGAAAGTTTGCATTAATGTTAAAATAAAAGAATCATTTGTATAATTTCAACAAACCAAGCCTTATAATTTACTTCTATTTCTCAAAACAGAAATCAAAGTTATTATTAATTAGTTAGTTAAATTTTAGGAAACTTTATTTACTACTCCTATCTTTTACCAAAAAAAAAAAAAGTATTGCTAAATTTTTTAAGAAAGCCACGCTACAAAAACATAAAACATAAAACATAAAACAAAAACAAAAACAAAACTTACTTCAAATTAAAACGCAGACTTCCCTAAACTCTAAATTTCCTAAAATCTAATTCCTAATTTCCTAAAACATATTTTCAAGACTGATTATATATATATATATATATATATATATACGTTTCTGCTTCCTCCATTAACACACATTTCTAAAAGTTCGTTGATTAATTCTATCAAAGTATCAAATCCTTTCTATATAGTGTTTTCCTTGTGATTCTGTTATTCTGAGAATGGAATCGAAGGCTGGGGTTAGGGTCTCGAGTTCTACCTTCTTCTTGTTCTGCTTCTACTCTATGATCTTGTTGTTCGGATTTATCAGTTCTCTGTGCTTGAAAAGCGATGCTGCTGCTGTTTCTGCTGCACCATTCAGCTGCAAGAATGGGACGATTGCAGAGTGCAATGAAGACGATGAGATGATGATGATGGAATCGGAGATCAGCCAGAGGTTGATGGCGGAGAAGACGAAGTACATATCTACGGGAGCTCTCAGGAGAAACAGACCAGCCTGTAAAGGCGGAGGCAGAGGCAAATCTGGAGAATGTCTTCCTCCTCCTTCAAATCCTTATACCAGAGGCTGTTCTAAGGAACATCGTTGCAGATCTGACTCTTGAGTCGTCCCAGAAATTGGCCATGTGCTGCAATTTGATCCAATTCTGATCGTTGTTCTTTCAATTTGATTGTTTTTTAATGTCTTGAAATTTCTGTCATGTCTTTTTATTTGAAATATATAGCCGTTAATCTTATGTTAGAATATTTTTATTGAAATATATTTTTATTAATTTAAATGCTTGTTGGATTTTTAATTTACAGGAATTAGACATCATGAAATTTTGGTGTCCTAGTATGCTACTGTACGTCAAAGTTATTTATAGATGATATTTAAATATGAATAAATAAAAATATTTTAGAAAATCTTAAATTTTGTTTTATATTGCCCCAGGGGCTAGGTCTAGGTGGAACACAGTATACGAAACATCATCCCATATATATATAACTATTTTATCTAATTTTTATTCTATTTGATATTTAATTGAATTAAGTATAAAAAAATGGAATGATTTATATATGTTTCATATTTATTCGTCTAGTAAGAATTTCACAACCATTTATATAATGATTCTCTTTAGGAGCAATTATTGATGGAAATGGTAAGTAATACATGTGTGAGAGAGCATACAAATAACCTTTTATATTCAACACTTAGATGCCTCTTATGTCAAGTTTTACATTATATATACAAAATCCAATCTTTAGTTTTGTTAAAATATAAGTATCTTATTTATATTTTTAAAATATACGTTAATCCTCATAAAATATAAAATTGTGCTATATCTCAGTTAAGCTTTCAACTTTTTAAACGAAAGATGCATTTTTAAAATTTATAACATTTAAAAATTTATATCTTTTCTACAAACAAAAATTAAATCATATAAACATTAATTGAATTTCATTCCATCACGCTAGTTTTTTTTTTTGTGAGACGACACTTTTTTTTTTTAACTTTCAAAACTCATACAAACATCTCGCCAATCTAGAATAATGTTTGCAGCATTTCTACATGGTTATGAAAGAATATAAGTAATATATTATTTTTCTCGAAAAAAAATACACATGTGTATAAATTTTAGTATGAGAGAATTCAGTATAATTGAAGTAAATTTCAAACGCAGTAGTTTGTATTAATGTTAAAAAAATAATTTCTATAATTTAAACATGCCAAACCTATACAATACACTTTTATTTCTAAAAAAATAAATTTATAATTAAATAATTAATTAATAAATTATAGGAAACTTTATTTACTGCTCCTAAAATCCTAACTCTTCCAAAAAGTATCATTAAAATTTTAAGAAACCTAATTGCAAAAAAAAAAAAACTCTTTATAAATAAAATGAACTTGCTTAAAATTAAAAGGAAAACTTTCCAGAGCTCTAATTTCCTAAAATCTAATACATATTCTCTTCATTTAAAAATATAAGACATTTTTAGTATTTTAAATATAATTAATGTGCTTTTTTAAGGTGTCCATAATAAATAAATTATTTTATATTTATTTTAAAGTAAAATAATTTATTAATATAAAAAGATGGTATTAATTTAAAAATAGTTAATTATTTTATTGAAAATATGATTGATTAAAAATACTTTATTTTTTAACAAAGAAAATTAATTTTCTAAAACATAATTTCAAGATTGATTAGAGAGGTTTTGGAGGTTTTGTGTTTGGACTGGTTCGGACAAAAAAGAAGATAATGCTTTAAAAGTTTGTGATTCTGGGACGATGTCGAATAAATCTCCTTTGAGAAATCCTCATCTGCTTTGGAGCATAAGAATGAAAAAAATTCAAACAAGGTTATAGCACCTACTGTCTCGCTATACTTTCCGTCAATTTTAAGTTCATGAAAAGTTTGCCTGAGAAACGGTCTTCTTACATTGAGCCAAATTGTTTCAATCTGCTTTGCTTTTGATGTGTGCTAACCTAAATCAAAGAAGAATCTTCAGATAAGGCCTTCAATCAACACGGTCTTGCATTTCAATGTTACCGAAGAAAAGTAGTTCAACGAAATCTTCTGAAGCATCATTTTTCATTTCATGCTTGTAAACTATTTTGCTTTTGTTTCATTTAATCTTTTTCAGTATTTAGAACTCTTCACTCCCTCAGTCCCTTTAGGATTGTTGCAAACTTAGATACAGTAGACTAAGGGAGCATTTGTTTTTCGTACATTTAACATTTAAAATGAACTTTTAAATTTTTAAAATGTTAAAAGTTGTTTGAATAATTTTGTCGGAAGTACAATAACTTTTAAAAAGTAGATTGAAATGGGTTTGAAATATAAATTTTGAAACTTCATTTTTTGGTGAATTTCAAAAAATCCATTTCAAATGTTAAATGAGTTGGGAGCAATTATGAAGAGAATAATTGGATACCTAAATTTTTGAATGACCATGATACCCTTCGGGTCCACATAAGTTTAGACACTAATGATGAAAATATGATTAACACTAGTGATGATAATGACAAACATATATTTTCATCATTAATTTCAAGTATAATTTCAAGTGCAGCTTTTGATAGAGATAAATATAGTTTGAAATTTTATTAAAAATCAGATTATATATTATAAATTAAATCATTAATTATGTAACTATTCAATATTAATTAATGTTGAACTATTCATTATATAATTTTTTTAATATTAAATTATGTATTTTTTATTCTTATTATTTAAGATCATAAATTTTTTGTTATTTTAATTTTTTAACTTTTTAAATATTTTTAATATATTATATTTATATACTAAAAAATTAAAAATTAAAATAAATTAATGTTCTTTTTGACCATTGCATATTTAAAATTATATTTTAAAAATATAAATTTTTATTAATTTAAATAATTTTAATTTATTAAATTAACTTTTAAAAAATATATTTAAATATTTTTTTTATAATAATTGATTTTTATTAAATTAATTTTTATTAAATAAATTTTGATTAAATTAATTTTTGATAGATTGAAAAGCAAACACACACTAATTTTATTTTATTAATAGTTTTTTTTGTCAAAAAAATAAAATGAAGATTGGTTAGAGAGAGAGAGAGACGGCAACAACAGTGATCCCTTCACCTACTACTACAAGAGCTAGTGCTCCCTCCATTAACAGGCCTTTCTAAAAGTCCGCTGGACCTATCAAATCGTCTCTATATAGTGCTTTCCCTGTGACTCTGAGGACAATTACACAATTCAGAGAGAGAAAGAGAGAGAAAATGGAATCGAAGGCTAGGATTAGGGTTTCGAGTTCTAACTCCTCCTTCTTCTGCTTCTACTTTCTGATCTTGTTCGTCGGATTCATGTCTTGTTTGTGTTTGAAAAGCGATGCTGCTGCTGCTGCATCATCATTCAGTTGCAAGAATCGGACTATTGCAGAGTGCAATGAAGAGGACGAGATGACGATGATGGAATCGGAGATCAGCCGGAGGTTAATGGTGGAGCAAAGGAAGTATATATCTCCGGGAGCTCTCCGGAGAGACAAACCGGTCTGTAACGGCGGAGGTGGCGAGGCTTACAGCAAATCTGGAGGTTGTCTTCCTCCTCCTTCAAATCCTCATACCAGAGGCTGTTCGAAGTATTACCGTTGCAGATCTGACTCTTGAGATCTCACAGAAACTGGTTTATGTCTTAATTTGATCCGATTCTGATCCTTTTTTTTTTTTTGGCTTTTAAAAGTTGACTTATTTAGTCTTTTTAATTTCATTGAGGTTGGAGAAGGTACGCGTCTTTTTCAATTTTATTTCCAGCATATAGGCGTTAATCTTTTTTTTTTTTTTTGAGCAAAGTATATAGGCGTTAATAGGCGTTAATCTAACGTCAGATTTTTATTATTGAATTTTTTATTAATTTAAATGCATATTGGATTTTTTTTTTATTTGTAAGAATTAGACATAGTGATATTTGGTTTCCTAAAACTATCCTGGTCTTTGTCGGAGTTATTTATTGAAGCCTTGAAAAGTAAATCTAAATATGCATAAATAAAAAATAGTAGATACAATGCATACCAAAAAAAAAAAAAAATTCCTCATCTTCGTCTGAATTATTCATTGAAGCCTTGAAAAGTAAATCTAAATATGCATAAATAAAAAATAGTAGATACAAGGCATACCAAAAAAAAAAAAAAAAGTAGATACAAATTCTCCAAATTTTATTTTATATCTAATATTAATATTAAAGTATACTTTTAGTTTGTCTAACTTTAATTTGATAAGTTTTTATGTTGCTCTTTTAATTTTATAAAATATTTTATCAGTTCTTTAATCCTGTTAATTTTAAATAATTATTTTTATACTAATTATAATTATTTAAAAATTTTTAGCTAATATGTTAACTTTGGAAAATATTTTATTGATGAAACTAATGGTCTCATAGTAAAAAGACTAAAAATATTTTTATAAAATTAAAAGATTAAAATAGAATTTGATATAAAGTTAAAAAAATAATTTTATTAAAAAATATAAAGCATTCTTCATCGAATCTTATTTCAATAAAATAATTATTTATTTTAAAATTAACGTTATTTTTTCATATATACTACTATTCAATAGGATGTTTTATTTTAAAATAAATATAAAATAATTTATTTGTTTAGGATAATTATGAAAAAAAAGGTAATAATTATATCTTAAAATTTTAAAATATTTTATATTTTTAAATATTTAACCTTTTAAAAAATACTTAATATTTTTAAATAAAAGAAGTATGCTTTAATATTTAATGTGTTGCCCTCAGTGTTGAGGAGGGGAGGGATGTGCACAAATAAAAATATATTTATAAAAAACTTAAATTTATTTTTCTTTTTCTTTTTGTGTGACAGAGATGAAATGAAGACTAAGGATTAAGGATAAATAATAATAAAAGTAAACTAAAAATGTAACATGATTTATGTTTTATGAAAGTATTTGTATGTTTTAAAATATAAAAGTTAAAAAATAAAGAAAAATATAATCATTGGTCCCTATAGTTTTTATCAAATTTTTTTTTAGTTCCTATAATTTTTTCTAGTGTTTTTGGTTCTTGTAGAGATCGAAACCATTAAAAACATTAAAATTATAGAGATTTAAGTAACAAACGTCATCCAATCTTATTAAAATTATAGAGTCTAAAATATTAGGAAAAAAAAGTATAGAGAGTAAAAACAAAATCCGATAAAATTGTAGGAAAGATATTTGTGTTTTCCCAAAAATAAATTTAATATTTGAAGCAATATTTTGAAAGTCATATTGGATTACGAAGTAGAAAGGCTAGCAGTTTACTATTCTCTTGGTTTAACTGACTAAACTGATAGTAACAAGTGATACAATAGTTAAATAAAAATAATATTGCACACATTTATAACAATATAAATATGAAATTGTTAAAAATATGCATAAAAGAATTATCACATGCAAGGTGAATTTTTTTAAAAAAATATACTGATTAAAGATTTAGAATTTTGATTTTGGTTCAGCTCACGTAACATTGTCATTTAGTTTTGAAATTGGGATTTATATTTTTTTTTTTTGAAAATAAAGAATCAGATCAATACAATCAACTAACTCAACATAGTTTGACACAATTCTTGATTATTTACTGGGCTCAACCCTCTGAATGGTCTCTTTTTTTTGAAGAAAAACTGAACTGTTGTGCTATCTAGCCGATCTGATCCAATTCTTAAAATACAATTTGAAAAGATATTCACATTTAGTGCTTAACAGTGCCTCGAACAGAATTGGCTATAACAACAAAATCATTGAGTTAAAAAAGAACCAACTGAAACTTGTGAAGAAGCATCCTTGAAGAATGTGCTATTATGGTTATATATTGTTGAAAAATTAAATTAAAATAAAAATACGATTCATCTGTTTTATTTTATAAGATAGTTTTAGAGATAATGTGGTATCCCAAAATATAAAATGTTTCAAGAAAAAAAATAAGGTTTCATTAATTATGAATATTCAAATATTACCCCTTATTATTTCATTTTTTTTATCAAACATTGTTTCATTCTTTAAATAAAATTTCTTACTCTCTTTATCAATGAAGTATATTTTTGAAATTTTTAAAAAATTAAAATTATAAAATGCATTTAATGAATTTTATTAGTATGTATAATTTTATTAAAAAAGCCTTATTAATTAGGACAAAGGGTGTAAATAGTGTAAATGAACCCAAGAGGAGGGTAAATTGAGCTAAATAAAATTTTTGACAAATAATACTAAAAAGTGCACGAGTATTTATCCTAATTCAACTCCAACCACCCGACCTTATGTTTTGTCCTCAAGCTTTACTTGAGATTTTCTCCAATAAATCTACCAAAATTAATCCAGGCTCTTGGTTGCCTCAGTGCAATTCTAGAAAACAAGTCTAAATCACTCCTTCACAACATTAATGATTAACCCCACTTAAACTCCTCAAGCTTAAGTCATCTATTCTCAAATATGAAAAATAGGAATAAATAGAGTAAGTGCACAAAATCAACTACAATAGTAAAAAATTTCTCAAAGAGCTAATATACAATCAATAAAGTGAGCAATTAAGTCACAAAAAGTTAATAAACAATGAATAAGTAGTTCAAGCAATAATTCTTCTACGTTTGTTTTTATAAATGAGTTTATTTATAATTGAAGTTGATGAAAAATCTATTCGGCTCATTAATTTTGCCATTAGCGTGTCGTGCTTTTTTCCTCTAAGTTTATCCCAAAATATGGGTGTTGATCAATGCTTTACGGTAGAGTTTTTTGCTCACAACAAAAAAGATAATAAACAAATAAATGCATTTAATACTATGACAAAAGATAGGTAAGGAAAATACTGATAGACAAAATACAATAAGATTAGAAAAGAGTTGAAACAAGATAAAAACTTACCCAAGGTGTGTTTGAAATGATTTATCACTAATAGAGGCTTAGATAATGCTTAGTTATGGATATGAAGGATTAAAACAAAGAAACGAGGCTTATGAAATCATACTCAAAAACCAGAGCCTTGTAACAAGGTAATAGCACCAATAGTGAAGGCTTTGTACTTGAAGGGTCATCATAAAACTTGTTAAAATTCAAAGGGATCAATACGGGTAGTGAGCTTTGAACACCGATGGTGGAAGGTGAATGCCGATAGTAATGACACAATATGGGTAGCAGTTAAGAAGGTTGGAACTTTAAACAATAAATGAAATCACTTGTCAATACAAGTAGTGACATTATCAATAGTAACTCGTTAATACTGGTAGTGTTATGCAAATTAAAAACAAGTCACGCTGAGTTGAATATCGATAGACTAATACCTCTAGAGATGTATGATCTAAAAGAAGCTTAATACTGGCAGTGGAGCCTTACTAGTTAAAATAACATAACACAAAAAGAATTAAACTTTAATAAGAGTATGAGTATTGTTAAGAACACTACCCATAAAGGCAAGACAAATTCAAAGGCTTAGAAACAAATATACTCACATGAGTACCGATAATAACAACATAATACTAGCAACGATACTCAGAAAAATTTGAAATAAGAAACTTAAGCAATATAGCACATTTATACATTATCTTCCTTTTCTATAATTATTTATATACCTATTAAACAAAATATTTTCTAATTTATTATAATCAAAACTATAGTTGAAAAGAAAAAAATAAAATAAAATGCCATAACCAAATGCAACAATTTTTTATTTCAATATCTTCATAACAACTCTAGAGAGAGAGAGAAGAGTGCAATATAAGTGGAAGGGAATAACCTCAAAATAAGGAGTATTATTTCAATGTATTATAATTTAGGATGGATAGAATAATTTTAAAGGAATTATTGTTATATGGGCAAAAGAATGTGAGTCGATTGGAATCTAAAAAAAAAATTAAAAGCTTATAGTCATAATTGATTCAACATTCATCTTCTAGATCGATACTGGTCGTTTATTTTCCTGTTCTAAATAAAAAAATTATTTGACTTGAGTTCTAAAAACTCATTAAGGTTATGTTTATATTACCCATCGTACAGATTCTTAAAGTGACATCCCATTTTCAAATCTCCAATGATATTTGGGTAATTATAATAAAGAGTTTTTCAAATGGAGATGTAATAAGTCGGAGTATTAATTATGGAAAACAAATGTGTGCCAAATTTTTCATCTGGCCATGCTACACTTTGTTTTCAATATTAATATATATTGAACCATTTATTATATATTTTTTCAATAAATCCAATTTTATATATTTTTTTTATTCTTATTATTCAACACATTAATTTTTTTTAAAATTTTTATCACATCTTTAATCATTTCTAATGAACTAAATTTGTATAAAAAGATAAAAATAATCATAAATCAATATCTTTTTTTTGTAATTATACATTCAAAAATACATTTTGTTATACATAATCCAAACAACTTTAAATTAACCAAACTAATTTTTGAAACAAATACATGCAAATATTAATTTCATCATCATAATTAACTTTTATTAAATTAATTTTTGCCAAAATAAATTATTGACAAACTGACTTTTGTTTAACAAAAAACCAAATACGCACTTTATCAAGTTAAAGCTAGTGGTCTTTTACATTTTAGCACTTACAATTGCGGAACAAATCATTCATCTTTCAACTTGTTTCATGTATTGTTAAAAAAAAAATGTTAGCTTTGTCATGGTGGGCTAAACTTTAGTTTTTTAATTAAGGATCATTTTTGTAATATCCTCCTCCTACTTCCCATAAATAAAACTAATTCTCAAGTAACATAATATCAAGTTTCAAATGGTTACAAGAATAGGGATCCCAAGTTTGCAAAGCTAAAACCATTTTTAAAGTATTACAATTAGACAAATCAGAGTTAACAAATATGCAGAAACATAGAATCATTACACATATGAGTACATTTGCTTAAAAATTTGAAATCAAGAAAATTCTAAAAAATTTTAGGCTGTGCACCGCAGCATGTTCACCTCTATGATATGCACCGCGAGTCATGGTAC